CTTTATACAATAGATAGAACTTATGTCACATGTTTACATAGCGGACGCTCGGCTTCTCTAAGAAAGCGTACAATTCCTGGAAAAGTAGAATCACGCAAATTGTCTGAAATGTCGAGAATAGTGCGACAAAACTTTTAACGTCCTAAAGGGGCAGCGCTTGCTGCAAGAAAAGCGGTGCAAAAATGACTGTCTACAATGATAGTCGAACTGCTGTAAACCTATCTACAATCAGTCAAATCCCTCTGTAAGCTTCCGCATTTCGTCCCTCAGCTTACGCATTCGTTCCAAATCAGCTTGCGTTTTTTGATCGTGACATCGTACGGAATCCAGCTAAAACAAAAAAATCAGGTTCTTCACTTTCAGTTGAATCATAACATTAAAAAAAGGATGACTGCACGTGGTAAGATCAGCTATCCAAGGAGAAGGATGCTCTAACTTTGAGAAAATTGATTCCAAATGTTCATACCTCTTTCATGTAGTTTTCACACTCCTGTTCTTTGGCTTGCAATTTTGTCTGCATCGCTTCCGCCTGCAAGAGAAAGCTTTGGAATTCAGAATACGATGTACAAATGAAAAACCAGCGGTCTCTTAAGAAAATTACTTACCTCACGCGATAACTTATCGATAGTGTCGTTGCGAAGTATAACATCAGCATTGAGCCTCTTCACCTCGGTAGCATGCAATTGTTGAAGAGCAGACAGCTCAGAATTTGCTTCTAGAAAATGCTGTGCAGTAAAAAAAAAATGAAACGAACAAAGTAATAAACGCTCACTGTTTAGAGAATCAGTGAGTGAAGCTTTTTCCCGATTAAGAGTCGTGACTTCGTTTTGACGCTCAACAAGGGCGGATGATGTTCTACAAATTTGGTTCCTTCACCAATGGATAAAAAATTTCAGATACCAAAAGCACGCTCCAATGAATGGCAAGAATTCTTAAAAAAAAACTGGGCATGCACTCACAATTCCAGTTTCTTCTTGAGATCATCAGTTAATCTGTTAGCAGCTAAAACGAGCTCCCTCTCTTGTCCATTCTCGACTGCCAAGTCATCCCGCTCCTGCTTCACTTGTTCTAAGCTGCAAAATTCTAATCTTGAAACCCCACATCATTTTGATAAACAGTTACTAACTCTGCCTGCAATGCCGCAGTTTTTTCATCTAGAAGTTGCCGCGTTAACTTCAACTCCTTATTGGTTAATTCTACTTTTTCTCGCAATGTTTCGCAATCGGCAACTAGTGACCGGATACGAGACATCTGAGCATGAATATTATAATTACAATTAACTTGAAGCCATAATATGTTTATCTAACAAAAATAAAACCAACCTCAGTCTCGTTATTATTGCCGCCTCGAAATTGCACCCGTAATTTCTCACTTTGCAATATAGCTTGATCTTTTGCTGAGACCAACAACTCCAACTCTCGCTCTCTTCTCTGAACAAAGTCTTCACGCAAGAGCTTTAAAAAAATGACTGCAAACCTCCAAATTCAAGATTTTCCTCTCATAAGCGGCTAGAACGTCGGACATCTTGGCATCTTTCACCTAAAATTCTAGGTGTATCAAAAATGTAAAATAGGATATCAAAGCATTCAGTTAGTAAAGACAAGTACTCACATTGAATCCATTCTTGATTTTTCTCAGCAGCTCGTCTAGTAACAAGTCACTTTCCTTCGAATTTCGTGGGGGCGAAGGAATAATCAGTGGAGCAGCTACATCCATAGGTTCCCCATTCCTAGAAAATAAACAGACGCCTTTCACCAAATTAAAAAAAGATCACTCTCAAATTTGATCTACCTCATCTCGCTTGAGGTGTTAGGTGATGTGACTCGACTATCATGTAGGGATTGCTTCGCCTGAGAACAAGAAGCGATGAGATCACCCAGCC